TTATCTCCACCCGACATAAAAGCTGCCTCGTGTTATTGTGGTCACCTTTTCACCGCTCACTCACCATGATTATCCCACTGTCTTCACTGTTGTCACTGTTCATTCTTTCTCGCAATTCGGTTATTTCTTGGCACATGCTACCACCCTCCTCGTGCTTTTTTGTCTATTCTCTTAATTACACCGTGATTACGGTCGCCGTCTGTTGCACCTCCTCGACATTGATGTAACTTTGCTATCCCATCCCTGTGACTGGTACTCACCGCCCTTTAAATAGCACTGTCTCTATATTCACATCGCATTTGTCCTCCAACTTCCAAGAGAGTGCTCTCCTGACACGTTTGCTCTTGTCGTATCGAACCGATTGCTTTTTCCAGACCGGGTTACCCTTAATGTGAGGTATGCCGTTATATTTCCACTGATTCAGGCTTCAATATGCAGTACACGTAGATTTTTCATCCTTGTCTTTTGATGCGAAATGGGGGTTTGGCGTCTGTGGGTCACTCTATCATCGGACGTCAGTCCGGTACACATTGAAAGTCAATTTTTCTTTGAATCTGAAATTGAAACTTGCTCAAAGAGTTCTCATTTATTTACTACGGGATTTATCATCTTCTGGCTATTCAGCTCCTAAATATTTTGCTTAAACTTTGGATAGGAAAACATTTTAAATTAAATACAAAAGCCATTGGCCAGACCAGGGCTAAAGCCAATTCTTCAGCTATTGCAAGGTAATGCGATTCTGGATAAGATTTTCTGTAAGAGTACTTCAAATGTTTGCTGAATTACGTTTTTGTATTTATTTCTTCAGGATTTTTACTGATAAAATAAAATATTGTTTGAAAAGTAACATTTTATTAAGTATTGTAATCGCATTTCGTACCGAGTGCCTACTTTTATTCCTTTCTTTTTCAGTCAGTGTTGCAAAGACAGTTTCTTTTTGAATAAAAACTGGCTAAAGTTACTCAAAGCTCAAGCACGGTACAATACGTTTAATTACCTTGTTTTGATGACCGGAGTGATTGTGTTTATTGCCACAAAGTTGTATCCAACAGCTCTTTACCAAAATTGAATTCCTGGATTCAGAGAATACCAAATTCAGCAATATAATCTTATATTAACTGAAGACAGGTTTTTCTTACTTTCTTGAATAAATCAATCAAGAAGCGTCAAAACAGTAAAAAGGTAAACGTTTAATAACTGTGCATCAAATAATAAGTGTTTTAAAGGTTTCTGTAAACCCCACTGACGTTATCATTACTGTTGTTGTTGTTGTTACTATTATTATTTGTACTCTAAATGGAAGAAAAATGCAAATTATTATTCTTGATTTTGAATAGTTCACCATACAAAAAAGTGATTGATGATTTTAATATTTGAAAAACATGTTGAACTTAGCTGCAAAAGATTGCATCTAATATTCAGTACCTCTGAGCTAGCAGTTCATTAAATTAATTTCTCGTGTTGTTCAATAAAAAGGAGGCGACAAAAGCTGTATTTTTATGCCACTGAATCAAATCGGTGTATTGCTACCTTTTCAGAAATTTGATCTCTATCCATGTACCACTCAAGAACCAAATCCGCATATTCCGTCGTTATGCACCCTCTGCCGATTAAAAGTCCACCAGTGTGTACCGAAAGAAATTGCGTACGTCTTTGGGGAAATTTCTTCTGTATGCTTATTGTGGTAAGTTTCTCACCATTGCCTTAGTTTTGCTTTTCTTCAGTTATTGGGAGCGGGACTTGGTGCTACGGCTGCATATGTGCTGGTCAATTACGAATACATGGGTGAGGTGTTTGGACGTGAAGTATTTTTCGGTGCTGTCTACACGTTACTGGCCAGCGGATTGTTTGCTTTCATTATCGGACTTCTAGGGTTTTATGATTTTACACACGAGAACCGATTCACAGCAATTTTGGTGAGTCATACATTTTCTGTGTGTATTACAATCTTCTAGACTTCCGGCGGTATTGTGCTGCTCAGCATTATCACACTCATCACGGCCATAGTTACCTATGCTTTTCCTCGAACAGTAAGTTATGTTTGCCTCGCTTTGTGTTCTTCTGTGGATAAAATACACATTTCATCGCGTTGTACTTTGCCAATTGACTGATTTATATGCACTGTCGATAGCTGTTATTCAAGCAATCTAAATCATCGGTTTCGCAGTCAATGAATATTTGTTTGTCTGTGAACTTGAATTTAATTTGCGATTTGGAAGAATCAACTCATGTGGTAGAAGTACGAATTGTTCGATAACAAAAAATGGAAACTCATAAATTAGTAACCTTATTAATCATTAACAGTTTAAGGCTGAATAGGATCACGGTTCACGGTTTAGCCTTGAAGAATCGCAACCCAATTGAACATCTGATTAACACCTTCAAATCGATGTTGATACGTCGTAATAAATGCAAACGTTGTTAACCTGCAACGGATTATTTGTTTGTTAAGCGTATCCGCTTTAGTTAGTGATGGAAGTTATGACAAGGATGCCATCATGAACGATAAAAAACGTGTTAAGCATTGCATTGAATTAAATATTCGCGGTTAGCCCCGTCACGGTACAGTTAGGTTCAATTTATAAAAACGTTAACGATACACTTTGGTGCGAAGGGTTTTCGTCGTGGTCTTTTGGTTGCCAGCCTTTTTCGAGTCATCTCACATTAAGTATCAGATGTTTTGCGAATGTGAGAAGGTAAGCAAATGTGAATTCTACTAACTACAAATAGACAACGAATTTGCATGATTTTGTGATCCTGGTTGTGAAAGCGCATCATTAGAAGTTGTCATATCTGCAAAAATTTGTCAATTTACTCTGTTCAAATACAACTAACTTACTATGCATTGGAGGCATCAATATAGTAGATGGCATAATTAAGAGGCGATTCAACAGGGCATCAGGTCATTTTTCCAAGTACAGCACAGATTTGGACGGAGAATGCTTGGATTAGCTCATTCGGTTTTTTCACAGGCACCAGTCACAGTTGATGGTCTTAGATGTAGGTTTCACTCCTTGAGACATTGTCAATTCCCAGTTTGTTGAATGCATTTGAATGTGATGAAAATGTTTGTGATAACTGACAACGAGCACTGGACAGCTGTTTCGTTTCGTTTAGGACTCGTTTGCATCGTCCCAAACAGGACGAAACAGCTGTCCAGTGCTCGTTGTCGGTTATCACGAACATTTCTATCGCATTTAACATAGCACAAAAATTCAAAGATTTTTGATCAGAGGTTGAGATTATCATGCTATTGAGATACAGTCAAGATATCGACTATAAACAACAAAGAATATTCTCTATATTGAATAAGAGTATTTTTGCATACATTGCTCCATTTTTGTGGTCATTAGTGTTTATGGGTTACCGTCTTTTTTTATTTTCACATATGCACCATTGTTTCAGTCAAACTTTCTTGAAAATAGGTGCTGTACTTATATTTTGAAGTCATGGGCATGAAGGAGACTGGTAAATAGTAGGATTATTGTTATAGTCTTGTTTGTCTGGCAGTCAATTTCCAGTTAAGTTGATCAAATTGCACTGATGCCTCAGAGATTGCAGATTGATTGCATTCTTTTCATATACTTTAAACCAAATAAATGCTGTTTTTCTCACCAGAAGATGGAACTGTAGAAATCGTATGCGTAAAACCACTTGATGATACCAATAAGAAATGAAAAAGCCAGCATAAATCACCGAAAACATTTTTTGAGGGCAAATGAATATGTGATTTGTATNTTGTATCTGACTAAACCTCTTGAGTCACAACGATGGATGAGTTCAACAGTACGTGACAGGTAAATGCGCCTTGGTTTGTACGCATTATGACACCCTCCGTATGTTAATTTCGATTGCCTTTTCGTTTTATTGATTTGCATCCCTAAGGATTGCTCTGAATGTTATTTTGAATTGACTGCACACTGTCTCATTTCTTTCCTCAAAACTCTATTCAGATGCAAAACACTCTTCTAAAAGCCATGGTTGATTCGTTACCAAATTATGGCCTGAGGATTGCAATAACCCGAGCATGGGATCGCATGCAGAGCTATCTACGGTGTTGTGCTATCTATAATCTTGGGTGGGGCGAATACATTAACACTACCTGGTATCTTCAGACCAATCGGAATGTCTACGAGGCAGACAGCTTACTCCTAAGTACGTTTGGATCATAATCACGAGCTCACTGTTAGTGTCGTCGTTTGTTTTTGTTTGCCGACGTAGCAAAATGATAGTAGATACTCTGTACAAACCCATGTTTGTGACTTCTCTATGCAAGATTCGGTTCCTCTCAATAAACAGTGGTGTCAATTTCGGTTGACATTTCTACAATGTTGATAGACTGAAGTGTCAAACAACACATCAGGAAACAAACAATCAACAGTGAAAAATTAACATTTGTATGTTTTCTAATCAAACTGAAAAAATATTAAATATTTTTCTTCGATTTACCCCACTACTCCTCAGTAATTCTCCCCAGGTTCTTCAGTGAAAAACTCATTGCTTCTAATTGATTGTAACTGCTAATTTTGTTGACTCATGGTCGAGCATCCGTAATAAATTTCTACAAACTATGTGTGATGAACGAGGGACAATTTGTTTTTTTGTGATGTGTATCGATTAAGGGTTGGTGGAATATTACTACCGAAGTAGTACAATCATTAGTAGGGAGAACGAATAATATTCTCAACCAAACTCATTAATTCTTAAAAGAACTTGACTGAAAGAGAGCGTACAAAACAAAATGAATCAGTCATGTTGCACGCTAAAAATGTATCTTCATCTCAAATGTTTGAATACTTTTTCTGTCGCTTTCACCGGTCGAACGAAAACTTTTGCAGTAAAAGCTAACGCGATATATACTTCATTTAGGCAAAATATGTTTGTTCGATAACCAAATCAAGACTACAGTAGCAAAAATGAGAACGGGAGCAGTGAGGAATATAACTGGAGTAAACCGAGGAAAACATTCCACGCTTAAAAGGAAAAATTAAAAGCCCACATGAGTGAATAGTAAGTGAACTACCTTCTTTGCGATAATGCGATGTTCGTTCTGCTCTTTTGTCCGAATAGGCAGCGAAAAGACAGCAACCAACACCATAGCATGAAAATATATGGCTAATGGTTGTGAAAAGTTAAACTGATAACCAAGTCTGAATGGTCGCATCGAAGCTCACTTTTGATCTCAAGTCGACCTCTTTTAACCGAGTAAATTGCTCTTGTACATTTATTTCCCATTATCCTTAACAATCAATCTTGATATTGCAGAAACAAGTCCGTATTACACGGCAGTGCCACCTTCGTGTTGTGCCACGCTGATTGATCCTCTCACTGGTTATGTAACCGATACGTATCGCGATTTGAATCGATGTCAACGATGGCAATACGGACCGCCCCAAATGCAGTCCGGACCCCATAATGATGCACTGTATTATCGGGTGAGATATATTGACCGGAAATTCAATGTTTTTCTTTATAACTCAAAATCTGTTTGTGAGGAACACATATATATAAGCATGAATTACAAAATCAAAAGGGTTGTTTTAGTTTTTGCCCCAAACATTCGATCTCATACTGCAACTAGCAAAAATATTTTTTCAACTACATGGAAAGTGCAGTACGTAAATATTTTGGAAAGAAGAAGGTGAGCGCTGAATGGTAATATCTGATTCGCAACCCATAGCGTTTTATTATAGATGTCTTTCAAAACCAATCTATTTAGGAATCGTTTAGATGAATCAATGATGGTTCAGATACTACTTGTTGTAAGATATTCTCTAAAAGACACTTCAGTATTGTTTTCCGCGGTTGTTTGCACCTTACTCATTTAAACAACAACGAATCATAGTCTCAACTCATAACTGAACTTCTTAAGAAAGACCTGTCCAAAAAGAAACACCTGAAATGGCAAATTAAATATTTGTGAAGAAAATATACTTTCTGTGTACAGATACGTAAATAATCGGACAGAAAAACTCGTGACAGGTATACCTAGAGACCGGAAACAACTGGGAAACAGGTAGGGTGCTTCCAGGGAAATTTTCCCAAATCTTTCAGATATAAGCACGATATCAACGTTACAGTAGCAAAAATCAGAATGGGAGCATTGATTATAAATGGAGTAAACGAAAGGAACATTGCGCAGTTAAAAGAATAAAATAAAACCTCATATAGGTGACTAGTAAGTGAACTGCCTTATTAGTGATAATGCAGTGTTCCTGTAAATATATATATATGTTGCGTAAAACGTTCAAACTTCTCAATTTCTGTTCTGTGTGGTCTATATACTAATTATACCTTAACCAACATTGGTCACTAATAAATTAATAGTGACTAAATCGCAAGATCACTACTTTGAGGTAAAAAACAGTTAAAAATAAACTATATGAAAATATACCTTGCACTGTCAGTTCCTTTAGGACTGGTGAGACTATCCCATTTCTTTGCAGTACCTGCATTTGTTTACCTGCAGAGCTTGCCGTTTGCCACCAGAAGAACATCTGTAGGTATAGATAAAAAACCTGGAATAAAAGCACTTCATCCCCAAAGAATAAAAGTTCCAATGTGAATATGTAGTGAAAATGTCCGAGTAACAACGCGACCCGAGCGTAGAGCATGCAAGTTCTGAGAGCATCACAATCCACTAAGTTGCATACTGATAGGCTGAGTTGGTCGAAGTAGGATGTTGAAAGGATAACATTGTACGCTTGTGCAACTATCGTCCGGTTGAAAATAAGTTAGTTCTAAGGATAAGTCTACTAGAATGTGCCGATTCACTGCGATTGGTAACCAACTGGGCACAGATGGATGTCCGGTTTGGGCTTCATTCACGTCAGTGCTAGGCAGACTGGAGATGAGTTATCCATGTCGTTGCGAATGAAGCTTCTGACTCTCGGTTTTGTTTGGGTGTCCAAGCGACACAGTATTGGGCGAAGACTGTGTATTGAAATCTTATTTTCTTGTCACTTATAAGCATAAATAAACTTTCAAATATGTGGTGGGAAATAAATGATTTCTCGTAGCCACTATTCCACCATAAGCAAACTACAAGAAATGAAGGCATTGGCATGATAGTGACCATTTCTCTGTTTCAAAGCAGTTTTGAGTATAATCTCGAATATCCGGTCTTATTTAAGTCGTTTCATAGTGGTGTGCAAGTAGTAGTGATAAAAAATATCAATCCGCGGAAATACTTGGCATTCATTGGCTGTTTTGTAGCGGGTGGATGGCTTAATATGCTCACTTTTTTGTGCAGAGGCTTATTTTGCTACGTTTCCATAATATCTGATGAGGCTGTAAGAACACTGTTCAGTCACGGTCTACGCGGAGTTGAAGTTTCTCTTTTACCGCACCTTTCCATAGTATCGTGGTACCAAACTATGAGAAGGACTCAGCTTGCTCGATGGAATCTGCACTAGTGCGCGACGGGTGCATTGGGGGGAGGGTCTTGCGTAGTGGCGAATGACGTCAGTGGTTGAAACTTTGAGTGGTGCTGCAAAACTCTACGTAACGATCAACTGGAGGCAGCCTCTTCATTGTGGCAACCTCCATAGTGTGGTAAGGTGCACTTGTCTCTAGAGAAACGTTTGAGGCGTATCTTTGCAAATGTTTGGCGGCTATACTGATTCAAACTTTCCTCCATAATTTGTGATCCTTTTTTATCAATAGGAAGGAAGAATAAGGTGTATCAGTCCCACAAGAATACTTTGGGTTCCCAGATATTATGAAACCGGAGATGTTACGTTTTAAGTAGGGCTTGAAGGCAAGCATTATATATTTTGGGCAGGGATCGTCTCATTCACCCTTGTGACGTTTTGATTCTCAATGTATTCAATAACATTTGATATTTCTAACAGACTGGGGGAATCATAGTAATATTGTAGGGTGGGGGAGAATGATGATTTTTTCATTGTGCCTTAGTCCTGATTTGATGTGACGAAACATCTTCCCGCAGCTATGCTACAAATCTTGCTCAAATGTTCAACCCAAAAGAATGAAATACGACGGAGGGCTTTGTTGATTACGTGTATTCCATGCCCAAACAATTAGGAGGCAATTAGGAAGCGAGTCCATTTTGCCATGAGCTACGATAGGATCATGTCACTTCCATCAGTGGTTTGGGGGAAACACGCATCATCACGTAATAACTTATCTTCCGTCTTCTTTTCAGGGTTGCTATCCAGTGCTCAAACATTACATGGAGCTGCACACTAGACACATTCTCGGTCTCAGCCTGGGCTTAGTTTTTGTCATGGTCAGTTTTTGAATATTTATCTATGTTTGTAACGATCCTCTTGAATTTTAGATCGCCACACTAGTTCTCTTGATCACGGCCAAGCTGTTAAGACCAAAGCGAAAAAAGCAAATCTGAATTATGTGAAATTTCCAGACACTTGCATTCGTGTACCATTGATCTTGACCACTCGTCATATATCTTTCTCGATATATATATTCACAATAAATGATTTCGTTAGCTATTGAATGCATCTTTATTGCTAAAACTGTTTTTAATACCCAGATCTTTATCTCTTATCTTATTGGCGTTAGAATCATCGGTCTGAGCATAGCCATTGGAAGAGTAAATAAATGATTCACGAACAATTGTATTTCTCTCAAACCGTCTTTTCAGTGAAACCATTACCACAAAAACAGTGCTGACATTCAAAATGAGATCGAATAAGATACAATTGCATTCACTTCGTCAAACAGAGAGAATGAGCATGGGAATCATGAAGAGGCAGAAAAAGCTTGCTTTCTATCTAACCGCTACTGATAATAACTCTGTTTTGTGTAACTGGTTGAATGTGTATGTGACTGATGATAGAATATAGTAGGGAATTACTGGTGCGTATATCCGAGGGTTTAGGCGTAAATTTTGATCAAACGAACAAGATTGTGATGCAATGTAAAATGTACCAACCGGATCTTCTGATTGCTCAAAGTTGGTTTCAATTGCCACGATCTTTATTTGATTGTGAGCTATTGGACGGAATAGTGGCACATGTCATGGAAGAGCCAAGGGAACTTAGCGATTCTCTTCTTTCAGTGGTTGAAGCCACACTGATGACCGAGTCTCTTTGTTTCTGAGAGAATGTCGGCACCGCGGTTCGCGATATTCTAGCCATTGATGAAGTCGAGGGCACCGTGATGGTATTCGGTGTGGCAGGACTGATGATAACCTGACCAGGTAGCTGTAGTTCCGGTGCAAGCAGATTTGGGTTCCTCGCTCCACCTGGTTCACCGGATCCTATGAATGCACTGTCCGGTATTTGATTCTCTAAAAAGTATTGATACTCTTCCAATCTTGTTAAACGACGTTTCAGTTTCACCTGACTGGCACCGAATTCTCCTATCAGTCTTGCCAGTCGCGTACTCATCTGGTTCAGTGTGGTATCAATACGTGTAACACATTGTTCAATGGTCTCTTTCTTCTCCTGCGCTTTACGCAACACTTCCTCGTCAATCAAATTGTCTTTGCGCAAAATTTCCTCTCCCCTTTGCATCAAAATCTCTTTGGCCTCCGGGTACTCGGTCAGCGCATCCCACAAATCATCTTTGCTCAAGCAAAACAAATCGGAATAGCCGACCGATCTTACATTAGCCGAACGTCTGTTCCCAGTCTTATTACCTATCAAGCAGAGGGACAGAAGAGAGAGCGAGAGAGAAAAAGTGGTCAAAACGCTTTGAACTTCTAGTTAATCATGTTATTTTAGGCCGGTTTTGACTATCACGAATTGCAATGCCTCTGTCTGCAAGCAGGAGTGAATACAATGAACCCTTGGTTATATTTAATCAGTCGGCCAAAAAGTATTTTCCGGAATTCAGAGCAAAACTTACACCAAACGCGTTTGAATACACTTGAGAAATCATATTTAAAAACTTCTAGAATTTGTAATGCTTGCCTTGCATTTGTTGATGATTGTATGAGGTTTTATTGCCCTTGATCGATTTTTAAATAACCATATAGTTTAATAAATGGTTTCAGAGGAAATTTAACTCAAGAAGCGCACGCGTGCGCTCACACACTCAAACATCTAAACTGTTCCATTTTGTTAAACGACTATGCTTTCAGATTTTGACACAACTGTGCACATATAAGTAAAATCTTTATCCTTAAACAGGATCAAATGAAATCATCTAAAAGAGTAATAATTTGTGTGAGTAGTAATTTGTGCCAGGTGCCTCTTAACAATCAAATGGGCTAATCCAAGCATGCTACTCTGAAAAATATTTGTGATTAATTTCAGTAATCTTGTGATATTTGAAAAAATGTCTCACAGGAAAAAATCATGAATTAAGCTACTATTTTTTTGCATGATGAACTTTGTTCAATCTCTTTTCTGTCCTTCACATAACTACTGGAATTGCAAGGTATCATACCGGCAAATGGGTACGTGGTTAGTGAGAACCAACTCACTAAATCGATGACTACGTACATGTCCATGAAATTATATATTTATTAGTCGAAATCTGTATGACTCACAAGGAACTCTTCCTATGAACTCACATGGGCGTTGCCCATAAACAGCATTATGAAAAGGAAATAACAGATTGCCCTAAATGACTCATAGCGGTCAGTGAGATGAGCAGTGCGCTTTGCCATTGTTTCGTGTTACTGGGGCATACAGTAAAATACTCTGGACAAATACAATGGTTCAGTTCAGTCAAAGTGTTTAGAACATGGCATCGTCTCTGACTTTATTTCGGAGAACTGCCTAAAGATGTAACCACACTCATCGATCCCTTGCAGGGAGTCCAAACTACAGTATAGACCGTAACCCTGGGCAACCAGACAAGGCGTTCTCTAGTAGCGGGCGTCAACCGAAACGCCATATCAAATAACCAGTGAGATCGATCACCGGAATAAACTAATTTCGATAGTCGTGGGAGTAAACTGTGTATGCATTCTACAGTGACGAATGAAGAAGGAATATGTTTAAGATTTAGGCCACGGAGTAATCTTCCTTTGTGTCCAGGGCGACGAAAACACGTGTGATGCAATTCAAATGCTGTTGGGTACATTTTTTTGAAGGTTCGCCTAATACCTCCACAAAATATTATTTTAAACAATTCAAGCATATGCATTGTAATGAAAATTCTATCAGGCAGTTGCGAGAATTTTATGTGATTCGCCCCACTTTTGTGAAAAAATTACTTTTATTCTAAATGAGTATTGAACTACATATTGCAGCTCCAACTGTACCAGTGACAAGAATCGATACCCATCTGCTATTAAATACTATCTTTCAAGGACAGTAAACATACTCCGGGGAACTTGAGAAATGCTGTTGCTTACCTGCAATATCCAAGATGGAAATCTCTCCAAACACGGAACCCTCCCCGAGAGTGACAAAGACTGTTTTTCCATCCTCCGACACGACACTCAGTTTTCCACGCTTTACAATATACATCTCTTTCCCAATATCACCTTTGCGACAGATGTAGTCACCCGGTGAAAACACCTGAAGTCGCAGTTTCAAAACAAGTTCCACAAGCAATCCGGGATCGCAATCCTGGAAGATTGACGTGAAAAACGATCAGAAAATCAGATATGAAATTGTTTCATAAGAAAATATTTGGCAGTTAAATACATCAAAGTCCTACGAGATCGAAGAATCTCAAACGAGCCCGTATTTTGTGGTATTTTGCAAAGACTCTGTGTGGTTATCTACTTGGGGGGGGGGGACGAGTATCCATGTAAAAAATGCTGTTCTTGCAATATGATCGGAATATTGGTTATTCAAAGCAGTTCAGTAGTCGACATCTTTTACTAAGTTCCTTATTTTCCTGATCTGAACAAGTGCACACACAACCCGTAGACTAAAGAATTTTGTATTCTCAACCCCGAATGTTTTGACTGTATAAACGATTATTACAAGCTCTCCACCTATCACGATCGACATTTGCGTCTCTTTACTGTGACTTTTTTCTAATCTGTCCGTTTATCTCAACATGAATTGTGCTTAATATACCAATCCGATTCTTTACTCCCATCAACTTCAGCTAAAAACACTCTTTAACATTTAAAGTCTAAGGTAGAGCTACTTATCATAGTTTGTTCCGTCTCTATGGGCGATTGACTGGTACCATTAATAGAGTTTATAGTGCCGTATAAACCAGATACTGTCTAGACAAGTTGATTCCTTGGCACTAAGCACTACTCCTCAAATTGAATCTTTATTCGTAATATTTAATCACATACGCACGCATGATCGATCGTCGCGTATTTTAAGCTTTATGAGATGAAATAATTCACCTATAGTAAAATGCTTCAAGCGTTAGTCATCCCATTATTGTCAGAATTTCACCGATAGTGGATTAAGGGGAGTTGAAAGTTTATTAGTTGTTCAATCGAAGTGTCTTTTATGAAAAACTCAGAACATGCGGATATCTGACTTCCCTCCGGAGGAAAAGAAAAGAGAGATCAGTGGATTAAGGAATCCGGCACCAGGAAACTGCATGCACTGCTCAGTGATATATATTTTACTACAACAAATGAAATTTTCTATTTTTTAATTTGTCGAAAAGTTTCATGTGTAATTCGAAGATATCTGAGTCTGCATTTGTGATCACTATTCCAGCTGAGAGTCTTTGGTGCGCTCACAAATAGGTGTTTGGTCGTTTTTCACAGTATCTGGGAGTGGATTAAGGGTTTTATCATTATAGCTATAGAAGAGACAACGAGACTGTCGGGCTGATGACGGCTGATGATGGGACGTTCATATATATGATGTATATATATATACTCCCCGATGGTCAGTTGAGGTTCTGAGTTTGAGCTCTACTTGCGTTCACAAGTTTGCGCTCCAGATGGTGCACAAACAGATTGAACCAGTTGCCCAATGCTTAGGAGCTAAACTGGATTCATACTAAATTATGAGTGGATATTTTACGCGATGAATATGTAGGCAACCTTGCCACGAAGAATTTTATCTCAGAAGGCAAGGAGCATGCACGAGGTGGTGAGGTTTTCAACCAGAATACAAAAATGGATAGTTTTAAGAGCAGAAAAATGTAATGATGAAAAATTATCCCAAAACGTTTTGTGATTGTCTTCATGACTGTGTGGATTTTCTTAACAAGAAGGCCAGATTGTTCTCATCATATATGTTACAACGAATCCAAGCTTATGAAAAATGAGCTTCTATGCTGTTATTTGAGACCCCTCTCGAATGCATCTTCTCCCTACTACACTTCGCTTAGCCTAAACGCATCTCTTTCGCACCCACTCTATAACAGCTCTGTTCCCTTACGTACAAACAACAGTTCGGCCACCCGTTGGTTCTTGTCTTGAGCGTTTGCATACCACCTGACTGTATTTTGCATTAATTACTGGCAGCGGTAAATGGATTTTGAAATAACAATCAGTTCCTCGAGTTTATGCTTTGTGGACATTAAACGGATGAAAACGCATCTTCGGATACGGTAGAGTAATTTCTGGACTTCAGATGACTATATTACCTTACACCGGGACCTACTAGAACTTTATATCCATATAAAAGTACTGCATTAAAGTCAGACTCACCATATACTTGATAATGTTAACAACAAAAAATAGGATATCCATAGCCCCAGAACGGTAAAATGCTTTGTTCAACTCTCTTTTGAACGGATCGATAGCGTCTCCTGAAAACCGCATTTTGTGCCATGTAGTCTTCCAAATGTGCTTCCCCACTTTGTCAATCACGAAGTGAAACGTTATCTACATATCTGATTAGTTTAGTTGATAAGTAATACAGTGGCAAATAACCCTGGAATAATGGAAAATGGTACAGCAGATCCTTCAAAATCACACCAGGATTTTGGTACATAGACCCAACATAAACAAGCATACTGCATACGCAATACTGGAATTTACAATTTCATCGAAATGAATAATGCGCACTAGCCATTGGAGTAATGACAGATATGTATCCACCTCAAACCAACCCTCTAACGATAATCAATAATGTGCATTCAAGACTAAGCTAGGAGTTCATGATTGCAACGTGATCGCAAGATGCTTGAGCGCCCACAGAGGATGGTCACCAACATGGTCAAGGGATTGCATTACCTCACTCATGAAGGGCGATTGCGATCATTAAGCCTATACTGCTCAGTACTGCCGAATTCGGAGAGACTTGATTTTGGCGTATCAAATACTGCAGAACCCAAACCATCCATGTTGGCCGCTGCTCATGTTATCGAACAAAGTACACCTTAGGGGACACCGTTTCAAGCTACTGATACCAAAGTGTTGACCGGAATGCTGAGGCTAATCTTTTTGCGGTGAAAGTTTGCACTACTTGGAACACCCTTCCTTCTCGCGTCGTTTGTGCACCAACCATTGAAACTTTCAAGTGGAGACTCGATAAAACCCTGGTACATCCCACATTCCTACACTACTAAAAGCAAACGCAAATTCATTGAAGACTACGTTATCTGTTATCTACTAACCAAAACTCGATGTGATTTTTTCGCCGAGAAACGATTCAACTGCATAAATATCCAATGGGGATAAGAGAAGCATAAGCTTGTAAGTAATTCACGCAAAACTTTGACTTTGACCTTAAGTAAAGCATTTCTCATTGTGTTTAGCGGAAGTTACATTCTGAAAAATATATATTCTTTATTTATTGAAAAATTTCATTCACAATACATCCCGCTTTCGGCATAAAAGGCCACAGTGGCTAGTACATCTTCGTTTTGAATGACTTCTTGCTCTCTGTGATTTAGTAGGTTTTCGGGGTTTCGTGCCTGTCAAGCAAGACAACAGAACTATGCTTGCGCCATAAAAACAGGTCTGTTGTATCAAAACGTTGAGATCATTGATTGTTCTCGATTCGAACCCTATTGGAAAGGATTTGGATTTACTGGAGAGAGGAGAGTCTATGCAGAGGGAACATTTCTCACTTTTATCCGTAAATTGAAGGTTGGTATCACCACAGAATGACACCAATTCGAAAACGCAACTAAAAGAAATTTTATTGTAAATATGCCGAGATCGTACGTTTTGGTTTTGAGGGATAAAATCGTTAAACTGTTTTACTAGTCAGCCAAGGGCCCGATAAAAGAATTCCCCATTTCTCAGACACATTTACTCTGGAGCAAATCAGTTTTGGTAAACCATAGTTCAAACCCCTATATACTACTGCAGAGTTCCGGGGCTCTTTTTCAAAACTATCGAGAAGACAGCATAGTTGGTTCGTACGAGAAAAACTTCATATATTGCAATATAACCTTTGTGATCTAATCCCTCAGTATTGCGTAGTACTACTTCAACCGTAAAGTGCTGTATTTATCTTAGCTCTTGAGTACAAGGTCACGAGTATTGTTGCAAGTTCAACACTTACTTNCTTGGTAACTGTATTTGGTATCATATTATCATGACATCTTAACATATACACGATAAGGCTAGTCGTTTTCTCCAACGACAGCAACTGTTCGCCGATTAGAAGTAGGAAGTAGGGTTCTTGGAGTTTTATCTTTGTAATGTGAGCTTCAAAGTTTTACCTCATTCGAAAACGACTAACAATAAGTCTCATACGTTGAATTCATTTTTGTTAAAGCAAGCCACAACTAACGCCCTAACCAGTATGAATATACATGGAAACAAATCCATGAGGAGGAGGATTACAGGGTTATGTAAGTGGCTCACTAAACTTCAGAAGTCGAACGTGAGGAAGCGATGGCGGAGGGATGTGACATTTCCTGACTGAAGTTTCGGAATCTCTAATAAACAGTATTGCATATCGGAAACGTCCGTTCCCTTTGATCCATTTGAATGAAACAAGTAACAAAATATGAGCAGAGTATTGCAGAGTACTGCATGTGTCTAAATTATGGATTTTAAAAGAAGGTTGGTGACATGGTTAACCTAAAAATAATGTTCAGCTTGATTGAAGTTTAGCTGGTTAGCTTTGACTGCGTAACTAATGAATTTTCAATGCATTTATATGTGATGTTCAGTTGTTCGCCGAGCTTGGCAATTGTATTGCAAACGTTTCATCACCAATCGAGGTGACATTCTCAATGCAGTAACTGGGTGAGCGCTTACGAGTGTCCTATCGAGGTGACATTCTCAATGCAGTAACTGGGTGAGCGCTTACGAGTGTCCCTTTCCTTACGACATTCTCAATGCAGTAACTGGGTGAGCGCTTACGAGTGTCCCCTTCCTTATATAGGTCATTGAGTGGGCTACAAAAGCAACAATCAACATCGTTGTTTACCAAACTGTCATGCATTTATATGTGCCCAGTAATATGAGAAACGGGACAGAACTGGGTGTCCGTGAGTGCTTCTACACATATGTTCCCTTGCATGAGGTTTCCAAATAGAAAATTCAGTTGTAGTCGGTGGCCGCTGAATCGTTCTGTTTTTCACGCAGCGAAGTGCAAATGACTATTGGTGGTTTTACTTTTTATCGATTTCGGAAAGCAGTACACAACGACATCGTGTTCATCTCCGGTTTCAAACATTATCGTTCTACATTTTGCTTACTCGTAAGTAGTCTGACTATTTCCGCCGTTTGTAGTCACGATATTGGTTTGACGGCATTATCATGTTGCGAGGGACGTTCGTGGGCCTGAGTAGGATTTCCTCATCACAGAAGTCCTACTTCTCGATTGTTCCGTTCTAAGTACCTCCATCTGAGCAAAATTCTTGTGATCACCACTAGTTCAGTTTTACTTTCCTGAATTTCTTCCCTTTAAATTCGCCTTCTAAATTGATTGAGCCATTCACACAAGTTGATTGCCATCGACCGTGTAACTCAGGACTAAGGGTTCGAAGTCGCAGTTCGGATCCTGACATGGACACAAAATGTACGCACTGCTGACAAATCCCAAGCAGGACGAAACGGCTGTTCAGTGCTCTTTGTCAGTCATCACAAATATTTCCATCGCGTTCGCATTTTAAGATAAACTTACTTTACGAGCTGCTCAATATCAATATAATCGGGGAACAGCTTTTAGCTAACTTTCCCCGATTTGAAATCAATGGATTTTTCACCACGGAGTTAACTCAATGTCCCGACTGTTTCATCCTTGAATAGGTAACATTTTCACGAACGGATGGCTGAAGTCTGTTCGACGAATTTACCCGGCTGGCCATGCGCTAGGCAAAAGGTACAAAACTAGCTGTGCATCGCCATGCTTGTTTTAGTTTACCAAAAATCATAAGAAAGAGAGAATGAAACAATGAATGGAAGGATTTCTTTCCATTTCATAAATGGATCGGTTGCATCTAACAATTTCTATATTTCGTTTTGCACTGATATTTTCTTTCCAATATGTGTAAACATAAATTTGAAGCTCTATGTGATTAGCGGATGATTTCATCCATTTCATCTGGGCAAACGCCATTAAGGAACACATGATTGTAATGCTCACATGGTTTGAAATGATTTTTATCAGCGATTTACTTGTGGTAATCTAATCAACGCATACTGTAAATTTTCAGATGTACTTTATCTCCCATAAGTTGAAACATTCAAGGTGGTCGATGTTTTTCTCAACCAAATATTACGATGGACTAAATACAGTTCTATTTTAGTAGGAGTTTAAAAGTAAACTGTTTCTGTCTATGCACTGGTTTGTTATTTTGAATACCATCAGGCGATCGTTTAGCATGAGAATTTGTAAAACACTTCAGTGAGGGCAGCAACTCGACAGATAGTTGTGATGTGTGACACTGACCTCGAAATTCCTTGTGCACTTTAAATGCATTGAATATGCATAGTATACGATTCGAATAAAGTTCGTGTGCTATTCTATTCGAAGTTTTTCTATTTCGGGGATTGGTATTGCGCGAATTCTGGAATCGCATTTTGAATACTATTCCAAATACTACATTTGGGGTCGCGGCCTGTCTACTGAACAATAAATTAAACTCCACTAAAATCTCTTGATCTTAACTGCAGTGCACGCGATATCGAGGATTATTTTGAACGTTTTGAGATTTGGTGGTTGACCCGTTCAAAGCCCCATGAGGAAAAGAAATCCGCTTTCTTTTTGAATGCTGCCGGTAAAAATGCTTATACATTAATCAAAACTTGGCTTATCCTTCTCCACCTGTTTCCGTATCGTACGATGATTTAAAATCCCTCCTCCTACAGCATATGAAGCCAACGAACTTCGAAGCCTCAGAACGAGCAAAATTTCATTCAATGGTACGTAGTCCGAATCAG